ATTTTAAGGTGATGTCCCCTACCAACGTACGACCTCGCAAATTTAGATTCAGCCTTCACGCAGCTGCGGATACCACGTATAATCCCGTGAAAGTTTTGGCAAAGGAACTATTATGTCATGAATTGCAAAAACTAGGAAGCTGAAATCTTACGGCAGTCTCTCCTGCCCAAGTACAACCCTGTAATTTTGAATTCTGCCTTCCCTTACGTCTGGGTATCACGTACGACACCGTGAAAGTTCTGACGGGGGAATTATTATTTTGGGAACCACAAAATAATAATGTCAAAACTTTCACGGTGTCGTACGTGATACCATATATTTCAAAGAAATATATGTTTTTCGGCAGGGAAATAATTTCGGGAGCCGGTGAACTTAGGAAGCTAGAACTCAACAGAGATATTAGCTGTCCATGTATGAGCTGAGGATTACATATTTAGCCATCGCGCACGCTTACATCGTGCGTACGGCCACGGCAGAGTTCGCAAATTGACATCGCTTTTTATAATTTTATCGGAATATTTCGACCATCTGAGAAGTCGTATACCTGAATCTAGTTTCGATTTGCATTTATGCAAGGTCTTGGAGCATATCAAAGATGTTTGTGGTGAAGCGACTGTTTCGCTTATCAAACAAGCTGCAATGATAGAACTTTGCAAACTAATGTCCTCTATTCATGTGGTTCAGCTTGAAGGTTAAGTTCCCTGCATGCGGACATAACAGACACTCAGTTTTATCGCAGTTGTTAAAAATCATTGGCGACGCACACCGGGCGAACCCATGCTATCATACGCTTTTGCAGTATTTCATGCTGTAATGAGGTCGTTCGGAAACCTAGTAGCTTGGATTTGTTACGTACTGGTCCTCGAAGTTCGGGAAGTTAATTGTCTACGCGGTACTTGGACCGGGAACATTCCGCTAAAATTTCAGCTTTCCAAATTCTCTGGTTCATGAGTTAGCAATTTTTCTGTCAAAAAATTTCATAGACCTGTATATGAAAACCACACGCATTGGGAGCTGGATTTGATATCTTTAACTTCTACGGGCGCTGGGAATATAC